GTTGTGGGTGTTGGTAGAAACACTGTGGGTTGCTCTGCTCGGGCAGCAGGCACTCTATTTCGAGACTAATTTTGTTGCTTTTCCAATTCCATTGTCTTTCCGAGATATACAAAGTTGTGTAGTGGAGAATGAAGAATTTCGCACGATTGACTTCTGTATGCCCTATAAAACAAATAAACTGTGAACAAACATCCAAAACTTTGAACCAGCTGGGAAGTTATCCTTACCTCTTATTTCTGACAATACAAAGAGTATTTACTTTTACAAAAGATCTGTCCCTCGCCTTTTTGTACTTATTACATACATTGCGAATTCCATAATATAAGATTACATATTAAAGTTCTTTGGATTGTTCTTGTGTTTTTGTGATCTTAAAGCGATGTCTTCGGCTAATTTTGAAGCATGAACTTTTAGATTGTTATTCACTTTTTCAAAATGATCAAGTTTTTTGGACGACCACTTCGAGTCTTATTTTTGACACTGCCATTGTTCTTATATTTTTATACCCTGTACCCGGAGGGTATATTAGATTTGTGCAAAGTATGTAACAGGCAGAAGGAAGCATTTCCGACCCCATAAAGGGTATATATTATGAATCAGCATGGCGGGAGAAATCAATCTAGACATGTCCGTCCGTCTGTCTGGATGAACGCCTAGATTTCAGAGACGGCTGAGCGTACAAAAACCAAACTTGGTATGCAGACGCTCCTATTCCCTGGGCTACACTAATTTATTTTATTTTTTTGATTTTCACTGTTCACTGTTGTATTTCACTGTCAGGCTTGCTCGGCTGTAGCGTTCTCTCTTGTTTTAATATTGCCGTTGCAGTGTACTACTTGCTAAGACTTAACAGTTTGAATATTTCGCGCAGAGTTTTATTCTTATTTCTGTGTTTTAAAACCAATTTTCGCAAATTTCTTTACGCAAGAAATCGTTCCAGAAAGCTACTAAATGAAATGATAATAATTTCTAGAGCTAAGCAAAATCTAGACTTTTAAATAATGGGGAATTACCGTTTTATTGTGATGCACAATTTGAAGGGAAAAATAGATTTAAAAAATGTTTAAGGAAGCACGCGTGTGTAATAGTTTTTGCCTCTTTCACACTCAGTTGTGTGTAATTACACTTCAGTACGGCTAGTGGCAATTGTCGCTTTTCACTACCCACTGGATAAGTTTCTGGTGGATAGTTGCCGTACTAGTCGTTAGTGAAATCAAATCCTGGATGAAGGGAATTGGATCAGTTATATTATTCCTATTATTTCCTAATTGTCAGGCCTGCCTTTTTGTTTTGCGTCAACCACATGCTCACATAGATCGACTCATCTTGTCATGCTGATCAGGAATATAGGTGAAGTTTATCTTTATCCAATTTAGTGATTGTCCATGATGGACAGTTTTAAATAAAATACACTCTGCTATTAAAAAAAAAGAAGGAATATATGTATGTATATACTTTGTGAGGTCTGCCAAACGTAACCTAGAATGAAGTATAGCATAGTAACATAATCTAACCCGACTTGGTAGAAGGTATTGGGTATACTGAATATATAGTACATAAATAAACAGATATAATTGATGTGTTTGGTTTCCTACATGCAATCGAACATCTACCTGCATTCTACATAGTCTTGAACAGAAAAGGAGCTCAGTTGCTTCACCTCTTCCGAAACCTTATACCCCAAGGGCCAACATGAATGCCACTCAAGCATTTAGTCACAGCACACACACTACTATACTTATAGTTCCTGTTGATGTTAGACTAGTTGCTCGGAATGTGAAATTGTACAAAAATCATAAAATGAATGACGCTCGCTAAATAGTCTGGCATGTTTATAATCCCTGGTTACCAGTAAATGGCGTTAGATTTAATGTTTGCTGACAACTGACCACCGTCCATTATGAATTTTAAACGCCGCCATGACACATGTATGTGTGTATTGTTGTATGTGTGTATGTGCATCGCCCGGCACATTATCGCAAGATAATAGACATATTAAGTGAAGTGCGAGCTTCGCCATCACCTCACGCTTATCACGAGAGGGGGAAGGGAAGGGAACACTCGAGGAAACAGCTGAAAGCAAATATGCGACTGTCGTCAAAGCAAGCAGAGACCCGGCAGTGCCACTGCCACTGATAATACCGATAAGCATTTCTATTTATATGAGGATTATTTCGGATTAAAAAATAAGTGGAGCAGTGTCAGCTTTTCTTCAATGTCAACAACGTTGCGCAGTCTGTATACAAGTATAGCATATAGTGCTCGTTTGTACTGATTGCACTAAAGTAGAGCCCCATTTACCCGAATTTCTAAGTGAAGGTAAGCCTCTTTAAAACCCACAAACACAACATTTAGTTTAGAGTATAATTCTGAAGAAGAAACTTCTTAAACTGAGAAGATAGCAACATTTTTTATCTGATTCTTATACTTATAAAGAGACTTACTCTTATGTATACAGTTCATAGAGTCTACTTATTGTCTTTTGTCTTTTGGTGTTGCGTACAAAAGAAGGATTTCATAATATCCTTAAGTACAGTGTATGTATATTTTGCCAACAAAGTAGAATATTAATTTATATCCCAAACATGCTGTAATTGACAAGTTATTCTAATTGAGATACAAAGCGAGCGAAAACACGACCCCACCTGATATTTGTTTAAGTAATTAGCGTGAATAATAAAAAAGTATTATACCCCTAATTTTGCTGCTCATTTGCAAATGTGCGAAAAAAGTGGCATTCCATCCGAGCTAAAATTGTAGGAAATTCGAATTGCTATGATTAGGAAATGAAGTGACTGTTTATATAGCTTCATAAATATGAAGTAGCTTGCTAATTAGATGAATTATAGTCTGTTTGATTGTTTGTTTAAACAAATTAAATTGTACATGCTTATTAGCAGAGTGTAATAAAGTCTCGCACTTATAAGTGCATGGAGGAATACATTCCAAATAAGCCCAAGTACTATTCTGTTGAATTAATCTCTATGAATTGAAAAGAGGACTTTGTGAGTTTGCTGAGATAATCGGCATTAATCTCAATTCAAGTTGTGTAAGTAGGTGGAACTGAAAGTGGTTTTCGACTTTTGTATTTCCCTAACGAAAATCATTGTCATCTTCATTCTACGATAATCATGTATAAGGCATTATCTTCTTTTATTTTATTTTATTCATAATATCAACAATACAACTGTCGATTATATTATAAAACTTAATATAACAAATTAAACTAAACAAAATAAAAGATAAGAAAGCCTAACACAAAGCTGGACAATGACGTCTATAAATGCCTCCGACACGTTGGGGGAATTTTATTTGCCAATTGGTCCGACAAGCTGTGCCCCAACTCACAGCAGTAAGTGGTCAGAGATTTCCCCGAAGATAATTATAAAGAATAGATTTGATAGAACAGAGAGAGAGAGAGAGAGAGAGTCCTATCGAAAGTAAATGTGAAAGATCATTATAATGTCTGCACATGACCCGAAAACGATTGTGCAAAGCGTAATCAGTTGTGCATCTTGCCAATATGAACGGCAAATAATTCCTTGTTGGTCTACAAGGAACTGAAAAATTAAGGCGACCTAAAAGGGCAGAGGAGTCAACCTCTTATACAGCTCTCAAAACTGAAAAATTTGATTCTACTCGAACAATTGAAACCATTTTATGGAACCTCATTTCCTTAATAAATCAAACACTCTTATCACAAGCCGTGAATCAATTTGATAAATGGAATTGAGCAATTCGTGTTCTATTTATAATGATCTCCTTACGATGAAATAAATTCAAAACATGTATAACAACTATTATAAGGTTTCTTTTGAACTGAAATCTCTTAAAAACTTCTGATGAAATAGAACTTTACCAATGGTTCTCATTTTAGAGTCCCCTTTTGTTTTACAATCCCAGGTAGACTTGAATTTTTATTGTTTTACAATTTTGTAATTGAATAGGAATTTAATAAAGCTAAGATGTGCCACAAATCACAACAAATCACAATAATATGGAAAAGGGGAACATAAATCCCAGCTCATCATGCTAAATTATTTATATTTATATACAGAACATTACACTGTCCAAAAATGCAGTTAGATTCGCTAAGGTTTTTTATCGAAAATGTCGAATCAAATATTGAGGGGATTTTGCTTAGATTTTAATTTGTCTCCGATTTAATCTGTTAACAGCTTCTGCATTCAAAAACTGAAAATTGCCGAAATAAAGCTTAAAACGTCACACAAATAGTTAAAACTGATTCATACCTCGGACATCGATTCGTCTTGTCAAACTAATCGTAGCCTGATCATGGCAGTATTCCTTGAGATTGTTTTGTCTTTCTTTTCAACCATTTCGATTTCCGAGTCCAAGTCTTTGTCATAGTTCTAATCAAATAATACAGTCTTCCTCGAGAAACTCCTGGATGAACTCTCTGAAATATTGCAGACCTCGAGAGTGTGAATGTGGATGATGGCCAAGGGAATAGAATCGAGCAGGATCTGATAAAACGCACTTAACCCTTAACCGTGTGGCCAAATCACCTTCATCCATTCAAAATTTCAAAATTTAAGACGTTTGACCATGCTGTTTCCTTTGCTTCACTGTTGCTGTTGGGCCGATTGCCATGCCTTTTTTCAGCCTCTAACATACATTTGGCATTGAGGCTTTCCTTCTAGTATCCTTCTAGTAACTCTTTCGGTATAAAAAGCAATGGCGGATCGTGCAACTGATTGAGATACATACCTCAAATCAATTTTTAGAGCTATATTATTTGTGCATATGAAAATGGAACTGCAAGCTAAATGGATGACGAAATGGTTCTTGATAAACATTTTGAAAACTTTCGTAAATGTAAACTGGTCTATGTAATTAAGTGTGTTAATGCATCTTGTTGGTGGACCTCGGAGGTTCAGATCAATGCATATACTCGTAGTAATTCAGATCTATAATTCACCATGCAAGTGGCAATCACAAGTTTCTCATTTGTAATTTAACAATTTTTACCCTTGCAGATATGTCGAAATTCGTTGGCGTTGCCGACATAACCGAGAACAAGAAAATCTGGCGCATGCTGCTCGGCGAGCTGGTGGGCACATTTTTCTTGGTATTCGTCGGCGTTGGCAGCACAACGGGCGGAAGTGACTGGACGCCATCGGTGCCGCAGATTGCATTCACCTTTGGCTTGACGGTGGCCACGCTGGCGCAGGTAAGAGCCAAAGCCAAAGCCAAAACAAAATACATTTAAGTTGTGGCAAATATCAAAATTAAGATTAAAGCCGAAACGCAGGCATTCAAGGCCGCGGTTAACGCACACATGCCTATGTACGAGTAAGTGTGCGTTACACTTTCGGCCTGGCCAAGAGCTGGGCAAGACCCATTCACAAGTTTGCAGCTAGCTGCTGTTCTCGTATTTAGGCCTAAACGACATATTTGCGAGACATTGGCATTTAAAAGCGATCGACCGCTAGCTCGCTTGGTAAACAAACAAGCGCATAAAAACCAAAAAGCCAACTGCGTGCGAATGTAATTTACAAAATTGACAGATTTACAGACACACACACACGCACACACAAGCACACACACGCACGCACACACTCGTTCAGTCATTAGCAGTCGCAGTCGCAGTGCGTTGCACATGGCGTATGAGTAATGCTGCATAATAAATACGAGCTTGCAGCAAAAGCGTCTGTTGTGGCCATTAGCATTAATCAACACGCAAAATATGCAATTAGATTATTACGCGTTTAATTACGCTGCGATTGTTGCTGTTGTCGTTGTTGTTGTTGTTGCTGTGTGTATGCAAAGCGCTTAGTTTGGAAATGACAAAAGACTCGGCTGCTCAGTATCACTTAATTGGCGTGACATGCAACGTGCAACTCGCGGCAGAAAGCACATTCGAGCTGTGACAATTGCATTTGATTTGCTCATGTCAGCGCATTTCGCCACTTTCCACTCTCCTTTCCTTTCCCCTCTCCTTTCCTTTCCTTTCCCCTCCGAGCAACCGAATTGGTTTCATTCACAACGCCAGCAGATCGAACATATGATCAGCATATACAACTACGGGTACTGCATGCCACATTTTGCTCATTAGTGCCGCAAATCGCGACACGAGTCTCAGGCCCCTTGGGTTAGTTGAACTCTGTTGCAAGGCGCCGAAGACCAGTCAGCGAAAAATAGTAATGTAATGCCCATAGCTTTGTTTTTTATGACGCCAATTGGGCTTGTCTGACTCTGACTCTGACGTCGATGCTAATTGCAAGTAATGCGCCATGCATTTGAAAACTGGAAGGTGTGCAGCGGAATAAAGTGAAAAACAATTGCATTTTGGACCGACTGTACCTGCACTAATCACATATTGGCATCGACGACACGCCGCTGAGCTGCAACAAAATAAAAATCACGTACTGTGGCTGCAGACCAATCTCCTCTTCGGTTATTTAAAATTCACATCAGAAATAGAATCGCCGATATCACAATTATTGCAGTTTCCATCGATACTGATCCAAACCGAATGTAGACAAGTGTGAAAAGATTTACACACCTGGACAGCATATTTATTTAATAAGAAAGGCTTGGCTTTCGTATATATTTGAATTTTTCTTCAAAGAATTGGTTAGTTTTCAACATAAGCATAGTTCAGCGTGAAAACAAATAACTTAGCGTTTAGTTAATTCATAAAATACAAATGTCTTTAGCTGGACAGTACTATATAATAAAATTAGTATGAATATTGAAATTTTCTTTCTTGATTAGAATACTCAGAATATCCGATATTTTTCTTGATGTTATTTTTTTTTTCAATTCCTGCACACAAAGGATACCAAGTTCTGACAAATCTTCACAGGAACGTTATATCAAACATTTTGAATATTTTCCCTTAACTGCGTTTTGTTTTTGGCAAAAGGTTCCCCAATAGTTCTTAATGGGATTGGAGTCTGGGGATTGACTTGGCCACTCAAGGAAGTCTGTTTGTTACAAAACAACACCTAACATCTGGAGTAGAGCAGTGGCGGGCCAGGTGGACGACCGCGTACAATAACGATAACGACAAAGCGATAATGTGTTCTTCGTTTCAAGCTAATTTACCAGATGGCGAAATCGAATGCACATGGGCTCTTGGGGCGAACCCAAAAATAAAGCGAACTGAGAAACTTCATCTTCTTTTGTTGAACAAGCGATAAGAGACGCGTACTTCTCGTTTTTTCTGGAAGCGTCGTCTGCTTGGACAGAAGCAGCATGCATCATCTCCAGGGCGCACCTTAACTCCAGAAATAAATGCCCCAGCCCATGTACCGCATTGAGAGCGGGCTGGAAATCGCAAATTTGTATGCACTCGACGTTTACGATTTGCGAGCCATTTGACAGTCGGCCAAAAGGAAGCCAAGCGGAGAAAATGCAAATAAAACAATAACCGATGCGAATAGAAATGCATACGTGCATATCTAACAGATTTGAGACAGGCACGAGTGCGACTATATATATGTACAAGTACATATAGTATATACCAAATATTTATAATATTTATGAGTAGAAGGCGGGAAAAGGCCCGGCACGATCAACTGATTTCTATGCAGGAGGCTAAGCAGCCGAAATACTAACAATGCAATAAATTGCAAATGCCGGCAGTCGGACTTGTGGTATGTGATTTATGATTAAATGGCAAACCACACACACACACACACATACGCAGAGAGGTGTGTGTGTGTGTGTGTGTGTGCGAATTGTGTCTGAATTGAAACTGCAGAGGCAGAGCAGAAAAACCTCCAATGCCAATCAAGGTGCAACGCACAAGATCAATAAAAAAGTGTATGCGTGTGTGCATTAATTATGCAGGCTGGAGCAACAACAACAACAACTTTGTGCGTGCACCACTCACGTTTTCATGCCAAAGAAGTTAGGCGGTCATCAAACACAACCGCTCAGCAATTCAGCCTCAACTGCACCAAAACAAACCGAACTGGCTAAATGGACAAAACGGAGCGAAACACTTTGCCGGCCATTCAGCGAACTTGAATTAAGTCCAAACAAAACGCAGCACAACTACAACAACAACAACAACAATTACCGGTCGCAGCAACAGTTGCAGAAAGGCAGAACGAAACAAACAAGTTAACATTCAATTTAACTTAAGAGCCATAAAATATGATTTAAACGCAAATGTCGCGCCATAAACCACTAAATGCGAGCAGGCATGTGTGCGCCGCACTCGCACTCGCACTCGCAACCACCGCCATTGCCAGCACCACCACCAGCACCACCTCACAGCAAAGCATGCACATGCGTTGGACCCCAATCCATGCCACATGGCCAGCACCGGCAATCCAACAACTCGTCCAAGTGTTCAAGCGCGCGTGCAAGCAAATATAATTACTCGGCCCGCCTCCCACTCCATCGCCACTTCTCAGCGCTGCGCCACAGAGCCAACCACGCGCAACCGCCCAGACTGAGAGTAGCCAGCCAGAGCCCAACCCAGACCCAGACCAAGACCCAGACCATGCGCTCGAGTGCGTTGACGGTTGACCGTCTACCAAATATTTGCCCGTCCCTCGTTGCTTGCCAAAGCGCCAGCGAACTGCACTTGAACTGCAATGGCACTGGCACTGGCCAGGGATTGAGACGAACTTTATGGCCCACCAACTTAACTTGGCTAAAGGACTTCAAGAAAGCTACCTTGCTGCACATTTCAGATACTGTTTCCCACCAACAGTTCAGTTGCACTTTATTTCTCCTCTTTATAAACTGCAGATCTAAGCTGATCCCACTTTTTTTTGAGGAGTAAGATTAAGGATTACTTATCAGAGCATCAAAGTTAATTCATTTTATTTTCTCCTTAATCATGTCTGGTACTATTAATACTTACTTTTAATTTGATTTGGTCCGCAGAGCAACAATAGAGTGTATCCATTAATTAGATAATTGAATGAAATTGTGGCAAACCAGTTGGCAACTTGGAAGCATGGAAGCTTCATCCAGGGTTATAGTGCATAGCAGGATCGGTTTGTATATCTGGAATGATTCGAAAGAGATATGAAGTAAAAAAGTTACTTTGAAAGCGGGCTGATCGAGTTTTTATGTGTGATAGCAATTAATTGAAATGCTATAAACTCTCTCGAATGGACCTGTTTTGTAGAAAGTGCAGGACTCTAATGTAGCAAGAAACTTTCCAAATATCGAAGGGACTTAATTGAAATAAACTGTTTCCAATGGACCTGTTTTGTAGAAAGTGCAGGACTCTAATGTAGCAAGAAACTTTCCAAATATCGAAGGGACTTAATTGAAATAAACTCTCTCGAATGGACCTGTTTTGTAGAAAGTGCAGGACTCTAATGTAGCAAGAAACTTTCCAAATATCGAAGGGACTTAATTGAAATAAACTCTCTCCAATGGACCTGTTTTGTAGAAAGTGCAGGACTCTAATGTAGCAAGAAACATTCCAAATATCGAAGGGACTTAATTGAAACAAACTCTCTCGAATGGACCTGTTTTGTAGAAAGTGCAGGACTCTAATGTAGCAAGAAACTTTCCAAATATCGAAGGGACTTAATTGAAATAAACTGTTTCCAATGGACCTGTTTTGTAGAAAGTGCAGGACTCTAATGTAGCAAGAAACTTTCCAAATATCGAAGGGACTTAATTGAAATAAACTCTCTCGAATGGACCTGTTTTGTAGAAAGTGCAGGACTCTAATGTAGCAAGAAACTTTCCAAATATCGAAGGGACTTAATTGAAATAAACTCTCTCCAATGGACCTGTTTTGTAGAAAGTGCAGGACTCTAATGTAGCAAGAAACTTTCCAAATATCGAAGGGACTTAATTGAAATAAACTCTCTCGAATGGACCTGTTTTGTAGAAAGTCCAGGACTCTAATGTAGCAAGAAACTTTCCAAATATCGAAGGGACTTAATTGAAATAAACTGTTTCCAATGGACCTGTTTTGTAGAAAGTGCAGGACTCTAATGTAGCAAGAAACTTTCCAAATATCGAAGGGACTTAATTGAAATAAACTCTCTCCAATGGACCTGTTTTGTAGAAAGTGCAGGACTCTAATGTAGCAAGAAACTTTCCAAATATCGAAGGGACTTAATTGAAATAAACTCTCTCCAATGGACCTGTTTTGTAGAAAGTGCAGGACTCTAATGTAGCAAGAAACTTTCCAAATATCGAAGGGACTTAATTGAAATAAACTCTCTCGAATGGACCTGTTTT